TAGTTTTATTTTGAAGAATTCAATGCCTTTTAAGACTTTTTAAGGACCCGCGGGAACCCTGAATTAGCAGCCCACCCAAAAATATTTGAGTTTTTATTTATCTTCATACTTTCTTTTGGAAATATGAGTTTTATTTTCCAGGATTTAAACTGTGCTTGTTTGGAACTATATTGATTAGGACCAAAACAACGATGAGCCGTTGGCAGATATTAAAGCAACATCACAGCCCCTTACAGCACAAAAACAGCAATCTCACCTACATTTTTTCTAAAGTTCTTTGTGCAATATTTACATTTGTATATAACTATTATATTTGTTCTAATGTATTAAACTGCACAGCGGTTTGATTTTCCTTTCTAATCCTTGTTTCTTGTTTAATTAATTTCCCTCTGGGATTATTAAAGTATGTCTGTTTCTCTTCCAGGCTGCAGAGTTCCTGCGTTTGCTGACTCAGTTTAATGAGATGGGCTTCCAGCAAAGTGCGATCAAAGAAGTGCTGCTTGTTCATGAAAACCACCGTGAGCGAGCGCTAGAGGAGCTGATGACACGCATGGCGTAGGCGGCTGATCGTCTGTTTTACCTAGATCTGGCTTAAATCATTATTTAACTGAAGCTGCTGCAAAATGAAAATGTTTGATATCAAAAATAAGACTTTGTTCAAATGTTTCTGATTTTTTTTTTTATTTGCATATTGATTTAAAAAAGAAAAAAGTTACATTTAATGTAAAAAAGGACGGAACTTTAAATATACAGCCACAGAAACATATACAGAGGGGGGGGGGCATGGTGGCAAGGCTGGAATAAAATCCTAACAAAAGTAAAATAACATTTTAAAAGTTCCCTCTCATCCTGAACACCGACCAGCCTCAATCCATCCGACCGACCGACTCCCTCACTGCTGGCTCACAGTGGAGTTCAGAAATCCCGTCTTCAGGTTCGATTTGGCAGCTTTGGAGAGATCCCTCTGCAACCAAACATCAACATCAACTTTATGAATGACAGAAAACAAAAGGACAATGTTCCAAATATAAAGATTCTGTTTGCTCTGCAATTACTGCCTGAATTATTTTGTTTAAATGTTTGTTTGGATTTGACCTGCTGACCTTTGTGCCCATTCGCCATTTTCTACCTTTCCAGGAAGGAAATTAAGCAGTTAGCTAAAAAAAACGGTCAATATCTGCTTTAAAAACTGAAGAATGATTTTCTACATTCTGTTTAGTCTCTGTTAAGATTTGTGAATTTAATAAAGAAATGTTCCAACAGGAAATCGAGTAATTTTGGTTGCACAATCAGTCCCAGCTCGTGGAAAAGGGACGAGTTGTTTTCAGTAATAAAGGTGAGAGCCGCCAGCGGCGGGGGGGAACAGGAGCAATCAGCCGTTAGTGAGCAGAGTGAAGGGGGGGGGGGCATTTATCCACATCTACTTTCCCACTTTATAAATTCCATTTGTTTCATTTCATGAACCAAAAACGACCTACAAATAAGTAAAAATATCTTAAATTATGAATATTTTCCCTTCATTTGAGCAGGTAAATAAGATTATTAGCCAATGGAATCAGTAGATTTACTCTTAAAATAAGATAATTAGATAATATGCAGTTGAAATGAGACACTGCAATTTCTTTTTTTCTTATTTTAAATCTAAATTGTCTTGTTTCATTGGCAAAGTGTCTCACTTACCTCCTCAATTCAAGAACAAATGCACTTATTTTAAGAAAAAAAAAAAAAGACTATATTTAGATATATTTAGAAAATATTTTTTTTCATTGTGAGTTTTTGTTTCTGTGTGGTTATGATGAAAGATTCCAATCAACACGCTTTCTGCTGTAGATTCTAATTAGTTCAGGAAACTAAACACCAATAAGTATTAGAGGAGCTGAGGATTGAAGCAGAGGCCTGATAGCAGCTTTATGAACAAAAAAACAATCCAATCTGCTCCAAGAAAAACTTTTACTGCAAAACCATTAAAGAAAACATTTAGTTTTTAACTTGTTTAAAAACCTTAAAACAAACAAACAAAAACAGGTCTTCTACAATCAGATGATTACATTTAATAAAATGAGGCGTTTCTGAAATGAAGCCCAAAGGCACTAAATATAAATGTGACGACAGTTTAGATATTTCAACACTGGAAAAAATCAAAATCTAACGAAGTAAAATTTTTTTCTTAAAATAAGTGACTTTCTTTCTTGAATTGAGGAGGAAAGAGAGACACTTTACCAATGGAGCAAGAATATTTACATTTAAAATAAGAAAAAAACAATTACAGTGTCTCATTTTAAGTGCAAATTATGT